CCCCGGGGGGGGGAGGGGGGGGTCGCTGCAGGGGGTGTCCCCATAGTGTCCCCAGGTGTCCTCAGGTGTCCCTGGGGGGGCCTGCGGGGGAGGGTGTCCCCGAGGTGTCCCCATGGGAGGGTCTCCCTGCAGGGGGTGTCCCCGTGAGGGTGTCCCCAGGGGGGTGTCCCCAAGTGTCCCCAGGGGGGTGTCCCGGTACCTGGCAGGGGGGCCCAGGTGGCGCCGCGCGAGGCCCCCGTAGAAGCCGCCGGGACCCTCGAGCTCGGCCAGCGAGAAGCCCCCGCCCGCGGGGGGGGCCACAGGCGCTGGGGACAGGGGGGCGTCACGCGGCCACCCCGCACACGCGTGTGCATGTGTCGGGGGAGTCACACACGCGTGTGCATGTGTGTGGGGGGGTCACACATGCGTGTGCAGGGGGTCATATATGTGTGACGAGGGTTATGGGTGTGCCGGGGGGTCACATACACGTGTGCCAGAGGGTCACGCATGTGGCACGGGGGGGGGGTCACGTGTGCAGTGGTTCTTCCCCCCTCCAATTCCCCCATGTCCCCCTCCCCTCTCATGCCCCTCCCCCTGGTCCCCTCCATGTCCCTTTGTGGCCCCGGGGTTCTTGTCCCACCCCCGCGGTGTCCCTATGATGTCCCTTCATGCCCCTCCCCAATGTCCCCACCCCCCCATACTTCCCTCGTCCCACCCACTGTGTCCCCTCATCTCCCCCTGTCCAGCCTCGTCCCTGCTGTGTCCCCCCGTGTCCCCAACCTGCCATGTCCCCCCGTCCCTGCCGTGTACCCCCGTGTCCCCAACCCTCCATGTCCCCCCCGTGTCCCCCCTCACTTACTCTGTGACACCCTCACCAGCTCGGTGGCGTTCCAGACGCCCGAGGTGACAAAGCAGTCCTGGAAGGCCAGGTGGCCTGGGGGACACAGGGGGACACAGAGGTGTCCCCAGGGTGTCCCCGGGCTGTCACCCAGGGGTCCCCAGGGTGTCTCTGGTGTCCCCAGGGCATCACAGGGGTATCCCCAGGGTGTCCCCAGTATCCCCAGGGTGTCCCTGCCGTGTCACTTGTGTCCACAGGGTGTCCCTGGTATCCTCAGGGTGTCACCCAGGGTATCCCTAGTGTCCCCAGGTATCCTCAGGGTGTCCCCTGTGTCCTCAGGGTGTCACCCAGGGTGTCCCCAGGGTGTCCCTGCTGTGTCACTTGTGTCCACGGGATGTCCCTGGTATCCTCAGGGTGTCCCCCCTGTCTTCAGGGTGTCACCCAGGGTGTCCCCAGGGTGTCCCTGCTGTGTCACCAGTGTCCATGGGGTGTCCCCGGTGTCCCCGAGGGTGTCACCACTGTCCCCGGGGGGGGTCCCCGGGTGTCCCCGCGGTGTCACTCACCATTGGGCAGCGGTTTRACGTCCACGTCCCCCTGCTGGTTGGAACTGTCCGATTGTCCCGATTCTGGGGGGGGAACGGAGGAGGTGTCAGCCCGGACGCCTGGGCCCCCAAGGTGAAGAGTGACATCAGGGCCATCGTGATGACACCCTGCCCCCACCCCAGCCCCGTGCAGGTCCCTGTCCCCTGGCACCAGGACACAGCAGCTCCCACACGTGTGCAAACCCTTGCACCAGTACATGGCGCCTCTCACATGGTGCCTCTCGCACGCGTGTGCAAACCCGTGTGCAAGGATGCACCAGGACGCTTTGCTCACGTGTGGGCACCGCTTGCACCAGGACACTGCTCACACGTGTGTAATCCCTTGCACAAGGACCCTGCTCTGCTCACACTTGTGTCCCCCTTGCCCCAGGACACCCCAGGAGACCCCCAGGACACCCCATTCCCAGCACTCACCAGACGCACGCACAAAATAGGCCACATAGAGGTGGAGCTCGCGCGCGGCCATGCCGATGTGGCACCCAGGACACCTCAGACCCCATTCCCACCCCACTCCCACCCCTTTGCAGCCCCATTCCCGCCCCATTCCCAGCACTCACCGGGGGCACGCACAAAGCAGGCCAGGTAGAGGTCGAGCTCGCGCGCGGCCACGCCGATGTGGCACCCAGGACACCCCAGACCCCATTC